CGCCTCCATTAATTTTTGTCATATCTACCACGGTCTTCCAAACATCGGCCGGTCTGAAACTCGCATATTTTTAGTAGGAAGAATTCTTCTCATCAAAAATCCAATCAACCTACCCCAAATCCACGCCATGTTTGATATTAGATCGCAAATGTCCATATTTTACGATAGCATATTTCCCACGATTTAGTAAATCGCAGAGGAATAAAACCCACTCCTGGAACAAGAAAGAAAAAGTTTTTTTAGAAAAGATTTAAAATTATACCGTCGCTCTCAAAATTGTCGCAATTGAAAACCAATTGCAGCTGCTACAATTTCTTCTCCATCCTCAAAAATAGGAAATAAACAGGGGGCCAGGGTGCGCAGATCCGGGCCACGTTCCCAATTATTTTGACCGAAAGCTCGATAATGTGACCGATAGCTAAAAGTACAAAAATAAAATAAAAAGCGAATGAATAGTCAAGGTTTCTAGATTTTAAATTCAGCAGCCTATTCGTATGGGATACCTGATATAATATGATAAGCCTCCTCAGGGTCGGGTATGCAACTTCTATCACTGTAGTGATAAGCAGCTATCGTAGTCCGTGATGCCAAAAATGGAGGGAATAAAGTCGGCGCCGGCCGTTGGGGAGGAATATTCATAATAGTAATTTATTAATCATCTATTAAGAATATATATCTGAAGAGACGAATTTTCAAACAGCTTGGCTCATAGAATACGGGCGGCGTCTATGGACACGCGGAGTTTGGAAGAATGGATCGCGTAAGCGAACACCAGGGAAAGAGCGACAGAGGAAGAAAGACAAAACGGAAATGAATGCTAATAAATAACAGAATAAAAATATCTTCTTCTTTCTTCCCTTATCGATACTGTGACGTTCTGCTAGTTTTTCAAGCTTGGTAAATCCCTAGCTGTATGGCAAAATTAGATTGTCCGCTACAATGCGCTTTACGCTGCTATTTTAGTCGGTATCTTGTTCCAACGCCTCAATAGGAATAATACGTTTATTTGAGTTTTTTCTACACTCTTCAACCCGTAAATATAGCAGCGAGATTTGAGACACAGCATCAATGTAAAATTGTTAGACTTTTCGCTCCGTCAGCCATGAACCGGCGCGCACGATTTTCAGATGCGCGTCGTTGTAGAGGACCGCGTGATTTCTGAACCATTTGTCAATGTTTGAAGAAATTATTACCTCATGATCGTGGTCCATTTCTCGAATTTTCCATTTTCCGCAGTCTTTGTTAGACATTTGTCGGGGATGAAGTTCTGAATTTTTGGATAAATGCAAAAATTAATTAGATTACCGGGTTCCCGTTCGATTTCTTTGGCAGTAGCCATCCCAATTCGCCATCTGCTCATGGAGGTAGTAGTACGGTTCTAAAAATATAGATTACGTATAGAACTAAATTTTTAAAGTAGTAAAGTCTCAATGCGTTGCACCAAAACGATACCTATTTCCGGTTCCGTCGGCCTTATCACCTTCGGGAGTCGAACCATCCGCGTTCCACCGTATAATAGCTGCCTTGCCATTACAACTAAATAGGATTATCAATGGTGATATCATAGTTTAAAGCCGCTTTAATGATGTGGAATAATCATTCTAAAAGCATACCGAGTGCACTTTCTTATGATTTTCAATCGTCTCAAAGGCTTCCACTGTTTTGTCGAACTCAAGACTCTTCTTCTGTAGATCCCAGGTGGTAAATTTCTAAAATAAGATTATGTTAAGCGGCGCCATCATATACGGTAGAACTACGTTATACGTGAAAAATCGTGATGAAAAACTTACAAATCTTGTCGGATTGGTCGGGATTGAGTGGTAGATTTCTAGCGTCGGCTCGCTAGTTTTCGCGTCTCGCTTGAAAAACAACTGAAATGCAGGGGATTTAGCGCCAGAATTCACTTGGCCTGGGCAGAGTTTTTAAGCCTAGGCTCAGGCTAGTTTTTAATAAAATTCATTGCTTTAAGATTCTGATTTTTTTATTACCTGGAACTTCTGGTCGGGCTCGAAATTCCCGTTGCATGGCGCACGTAGATGATCATAGCCGAGCGGCGAGCCTTTCTTGCTCACATCGATGGTCATTTTGCTGAAGGAGAAATTCATATTCATTCTATATAAAGTCTAGTTATTTTTTCACCTATCATTATTTAGTATCAAATTACAATAAAATAGGTCGGTGAAGCTCAAAAACCTCAATTTCTCATTAATATTAATTTTACATAAATTATAGCTATTGTTTACATGTTCGGTTCCAAAAGAGCGTGAGAAAAATCCGGACAAAATCTGTAAGGAAATTCGTAAACTCACCCGATAAATTTTTCCGTTTCGCTTCCCGGTTTTTGTGCCGTGTAAAACACTGACAAGCGGTTCTCCTCCCAGGCTTCGTTCTGAAAACATAAAGTATATCGGTCTTGTCGAGATTGCTGACCGTAGTCGGACAATAAACACTGCAAACACGTGGCCCGACGTTGAACATGCTTCTGGCGGCAATGACAACTTCCGGCGCGTCGCCCTTCTTCGGCCGGTTTGGATCGCCAAAGTGGTCTGTAAGGAATAAGGAAAGTTTATTGATATCGTATTGACCAGGTGCTATTTTTAGGTCATTAAAACTTACTGGTCGCTGACCCGCCGTAATAGAATTCCAGTACTTCGATGTCGTTCTCGGTGGCCAGAATCATATAACCCTTGATGTGGCAGTCACCATGTTGCCGGTCTTTGTTGATCTGAAACAATTAAAATATACCATGAGCCGTTCTCGTAAATTAAACTAAATTTAATAAATAAAATTTCTAAAAAATGGACAAACCTCAACGCTAACCCTCGCAAACGTGACATCGACACACGGATACCGCGGGTAATGCTCGTTGACGGTCGTTAGCTTTTCTGAAATTTAATTATTTGAAAAAGATGCTAATCAACTCACCAAACTCTGGCTGATAAACCATAAGCGTTAGCGCGGGCCCGATCACAGCAATCTGAAATTATATCGTTATTAAGTTTTATAAATACGCGCAAAAAAACTATTCGACTCCTCGAAAATAGGCGAAACGACTTCTCGAAACGAAAAAGAAAAAACGGTTGGTTCTTTTGGTCAAAATGTAAGAGAAACGTTAAAAAAGGCGAGAGCAAAGAAAAAGGAAGAATTCTTTATGATTTCCTTATGATCAAAACGATAGAAGGGGATAAAAAACTGTTGCAAAATTTTAGTTGTACCAACAGGTAGAAAAGGTGGCAAAGTGCTAATTAGCGTCCCCCCTGATACATAAATGGGGTGGAGCTGTTCTCGATATTATTTAATTAACCCACCAAAGTGATTCCGTACGTCTCCATCGGATGGGCAACAATCTTCTGGTTCTTATGGTTGACGAGGGGAGGCCTCAGATAGTTCATTCTCGTCGATGGAATGATGATGCGGACCTGAAATTAAGCAATTTGGTCTAAAAATTTTTGTATATCCATATATAGAAAAACAGTAAGCCTTGAACCTACATCATCTTTGGCCTTTTGCCCCTTCAAGTCCAGGAAGTAGGAGCGGGAGTCTTTGCTCTGTCGTCTAAAGCAAAAAAATATTATTTAAGCTCGACCACTCACACTTGATAGTGGTCTTTTGGCAACGCCGCAATAGCGCTCATATCCTGCTCACAAGCAACCATGTTTTGGAAGTTCTCGTCAAGATCGTAGATGGCAGGGGTGAGAATCTATAAAAATAGAATATTATTGAAAATATATTAAAATATATTTGCACCTCTTAGAGAAATCGGTTGACAATGCCAGAAATGCTACAAAGCGGATAAAACTACCATCTACTAAAAACGGCAAGAAACGTTTTTCCCTACCTTTTTCCCATTCGACGCAGTCCTCTCAGCAAACCCAAACACCTAGATGCAAAATTATTAGGTATTGAGTTATTTTTATACCTGCGTAGTACCAAGCATCGAGTGCTGGAACGACTTTGCCACCTTCATGCCTGGAATGTTTCTCCAGCGGGTCGGAATCGCCCGGCTTTCCTCTGGAATATGTGAATAGAATTATTCTTGGTTCTTGCGCATTATCGGTGGGGGAATACATTTTTTTAACAAGCCATTTTTAAGATATAATCAGTGGAAGTATTTCAAAACTCATTTTTACTATCCCTAAAGTAAAAACTTTACAAAATCTTATTGAAACTGCAAAAACCATCTATTTTTTTACCAAAATTACAATTGTTTTGAAAATTTTTAAAAGTTATTAGATGGTGTTACATTTCTAGTTTCATACAAAAACGTTATCTCAGCCCCCCCCCCCGATAATGCGAAAGAACCCTTTTTTATTCTTCCAAAATGACGGAGCAATTAGCCGCATTAAGAAATAACTCAGAAACGCTCAACAACTCACTCTTCACATGATCCCATTTGAAGTAGACCACATACGCACACTCGAGCAGCACCATAAATTCTTCGTCGCCGTCGGACACCGTAAAGTCGACAATCTGCCGGTTGCGCTCTTTATCGCTGGGAAGCGGGATCCGAGGGCCACGGATGGTTCTAAAAACACGTTTGTCATTTTCTAGATTTTATTTACGTCCAGACTCCTTCGAAAGCAGGAATCAGGAAGCATACCGTTGCTTGTTGAACTTCACCAATGTGTCGATGCTTAGACGCTGATAACGACAGTCGATCTTCTCCATTAATAGATAGTGACTACAAAAAATGCATCCAATTCGATCGAAAAAATACTTACTTTGTGACAACAAGGACCCGGACCGCCATAGCTTTGATCAGGACTCCCGCCTTGACCACTGTCAAGTGCTTCGGAACCCTGAAATGATTCGTTTTGTTCGGCAGAAAATTTTTTTTGATAAGAGTTTGGACAGTGTTTGCGTTCAGGAATGGTAAAAAGGCAGTTTAGAAACACTTTCGCTATTTATATTTAAAACTTCCCCGACAATGCAAAAGAACCATATATAATAATTTATATGTGATATACACCATAATTGCCGTTCAAAATCTGTGACACTTACAGCTTCAGAAGTGGATCACCCTCCAAGAAACCATTTTCCAGTTCGCCAAGATGACTTGGCTCGCCGCGATTCATGAAGCTTCTACCATCAATGCATACCTTAAATGTGGTATTGCTACAAATTCTGTGTTTCTAACTTACCCTCATATTGCACGTGACCAGATTCGTAATCATGTACGAGGTGATGGGAATCGTCCTGGAGTGAAAATCACGTTAAATGAATGCTCAGGGTGACCTACTGGTGAGTGCGTTCCGAAGAGCCCCAGACGCAGACCGGATTATAGTGGACCCCTTCCACGTAGAGTGGAGCGGTGACGGCGGGATTGGGCAACATACAGGGTGTCCCAATAAAAAAGGTCACGCTGGCATTTTACTATTTCAAATCCGATCGACTTGAAACTTTGCACAGAGGTGCGGAAGGGAATTTAAAATGTTCACAGAAACTTTCAGCCCGATCGGTACAGTAGTTTTCGAGTTATAGCAAAAATAAACTTTATTTTACGTTTTTCACCTGGATTCCGCCGGAATTGAACCCTGGAATGTATGGAGAAAATGAAGCGCCGACCCTTTTTTATCCTAGGATTTTTTTTATTTCGCAAAATTCGGCTCGAAAATAGGCTATTTAAGTATTTTTTAACAAGGGCTAACGACGCCGATGTTAAGAAGAATGAGGGATTTAGAGCCGGAAATTTATGTTAATTGATGCAAAGTCCAAAAAGATAGCCGAAAAAATGAAGCAAAAGTGTGGGGAGAAACAGTATTTTTACAATGACTCGAAAACTACTGTACCGATCGGGCTGAAAGTTTCTGTGAACATTTTAAATTCCCTTCCGCACCTCTGTGCAAAATTTCAAGTCGGTTGGATTTGAAATAGCAAAATGCCAGCGTGACCTTTTTTATTGGGACACCCTGTATATTGGGTGATCGTCGGGTCAGCTGAAACATTTTGTAGAGTAATTGGACCTGGACGCAAACGATAAAGTTCCGCGATTCGATCTCATAATGACGGAATTTCACAGTATCGGAAATCAAAGAATTAAAATTTTATACTGTCGAAATTTCACAATATCGACATTTCAATATGTCGAAGTGTCACAATGTCGAAATTTCAGAATACCGACATTTCCAAATTTCGATGTTTCATAATGACGAAATTTCAGAATATCAAAATTTCAAAACGCCAAAATTTCAGTAGGTTGGCGCTTTTTCCAAAGGATTTCAGGTTTTCCCCCAGGAAATTTGCTTATATCAATTACGACATTTTGAAATTTCGACGCTGTCAAATTTCGGCATTCTGAATTTCGCCGTATAATTTTCGAAAAGAAGGCTTTACGATGTTTTGACAACATTGCTAAGCAACTTTTATCGTAAAGTAGGTTTAAATACGATACATTCTGACATTCTAGGCAAACTCACGATCATTAGGGTCTCCCATATCGATTTCCACGTATTTCACATGATTGTCTGCCGTCAGCAGCACGTAGCGATCGAGCCCAGGATAGCCGTCCAAAAACCGGACGTAGGGCCCGGTGGCCAATTCCGGGGCGACGGAGTCTTCACGGGAGGGCACGAGGTTGCTAAATAGCGGAGTTTTTAGATAGATTAAGTTTTTCACGAACCCGTTGTGCAGACGAACAAAGTGGTCCGGACGTGAAGTTGCATAGAACTAAAAAAAAATTAGCCTTCATATCTTATATTTTTTTTGCAAAATTTGGTTGCCCCGCTAAAATTCCCCTCCGCTAACAGCTCAGAACAAAAATTTTATGTGGAAAAGCGCAAGGAATACCTGAGTAAGTGCCGGTTTTTTGAGAGTAGGCAACGTGCGGATCTTTCGTGGTTGCGGTTGCATGGTAAACGACACGAAGCCTTTTGCCCCGGCGACGTGCTAAAGTTTTGGCTTTCATTAATTGACAAATCCACCTACGAAATGCGGATCAATGAACTTCTTGCAGGTGGTGGCCGTCCAGGCCGTGATCCGCCCAACTCCAGGGCTGTATAAGTTGCACAGCTGGAGTGTCTCGTCACGAGGTTCCACGTTGAAGCGCAGGACCATCTCTGAAAAATGACAAAACCGTAAGTAGAGAACGAGAAAAAGTTTTAAGAACGTCAATCAATATTTAGCGTGGCATAAAACACCTACCGTCAACTACGACGAAAACATCCGTGTTAAAATCATTCCGATAATCAGATACAATCGCATGAATTCGATTTTTAGGGCCGTCAATGCATCCGCGGATCGGCAACGCAACACTCGAGACCTGAAAATTTTTACGTAAATTGTATGCTTGAAAATCTGGCACCTTTCGCGTCACCGAGCTCCATAGGTAAAACCGTTCCAACGTCAACAGATACACGTCGTTGGCCATGTATTTCAGATCCCAGCCCCCGAATCCGTCGCTTGGCATCTGAAGGGCAGGTTAGAAAAAATTCCTATTCCTTCCTTTCGGAGATGTACTTCCCCGGTTTTCACTCACCTCTGGTAGCCTGCTTCCGCTTCCACAAAGCCCCCCAAAGTTATGCTCCAAAAAATCGCTGCCTTCTGCGAGCACCATGTAGTTGTCCGGTTCGGCACCCACCGAAGTCAAGTAGCGCTTACCCTCATCTCTGAAAATATTGGTAACGGATTGTTAGCGGGGGGGTAATTCTTATTTTTTACCTGCTAATAACATAACGTATTTTATGGTGATTTTAGGAGTTACAGGATTAGCTGTTTAAGTATTTCGAAATTTTGCAAGTTTAGAAAAGCTTGAAGATGAGGAGTTTTTTGCATTTTTAAAACATTTTTGGTCAAAACTCAAACATTTTAGAATTTTATACGATCGTTGATATCGAAAAACCGTTTATTGTAAAACCGTAAATTCTCTGCAAATGATTTGTATTTGGTACAAGAAGCGTACGGGATTCTGGAAAAAATCAATCAAAAAATTACGTGTAGAGGCCATAGCCCATATGGCCATCCAACACCATTGATTCCCCGTTTTTCGTAAACGGGTTCAAAATCTCGAGTCTCACCGGCCCATCCAACTAAATCGGATTATTTAAATCAAGCTCTCGATAGTATTGAATTAAGGAAATCCATAGAACCGACCGTGATTCTCCCCTTTTGGTGGGTCCATTCGACATTCTGTGCAATGCGATCGACCGGCAATCGCTCGGCCCCTTTGATTTGTGTCATATCGACGACGGCCTTCCACTTTTGTGGCGGCCTGAAGAATAATTAGCATCCAGTTAAAGCGATTCCATTAATTTAGAACCTTACAAACTACAAAACAATTTCTGTGAAGTGAGGGTTTGTAAAATTGCGAATTTTTGGTGTCGGACGAATACGACAATAAAGTTTTGGTAACCGTAATATAAGATTATTTTTTGTAGGCTATGAACAAAACAATAAAACGATTGTGCTAATTTTTGATGTTTTTTTTATGACATTACGCTGCTATGAACGCAACTTGAGCCCTGATTTCGTTAACAAGACAAAAAATGGGTTATGCTAATTTTCGCTATATTTAATGCGGTTACCCTCCTATGGACGCACCTTTCCACACAGCCATCGATCCACTGCAACAGCAAGTCGAGCTCCAAATACGCATATTTCAGGGGAGTCGGTGTGCAGGACGACGGTTTTATCTAAGAATTCGTAAAAAATTTAATGGAATTTACGAATACCTTTCCGCCCAGATTTCTTCGTCGGCTCAACCACTTGGATCTGCACAATCCTCTCTCCCTGTTCAAAAACCGGAAACAGGTGCTGCGCGTCCGGCTTTTCCGGCATAAAATTCTGCTCGCCGTCGACTGGGATCACCTCGACGAGGTGGCCAATGGCTGAATTTAATAATATTTTCATCAATTGTTTTTTTTATAAAAAATAGCTTGTAAGCTCTAAAATCTAAATGTTTAAAGGGGTTAGGAGTCATGGTTGAAACCCAACAGTTTAATCAATATTTAGTATGTTAAGGTTCTATAAAAATTACCGTTATTGAGTCAATAAAATTAGGTAAATACATAGAACCATGAAAATTGATTACCTGCTATCACAAAATCCTGGTCATCACTTCGGAAGGCGTGGATCGCCGTCCTTGGCATCAGAGTCGGCGGGAAAAAGGTTGTTGCAGGGGCTCGCTTTTGAATCATTGTCGGCACTAAAAGTATCATAGTTTATTACAGCTAAAACATCAATAGAGCGTAATATTTAAAAAATTTATTCATACAAAATGTTAGAGAAGGCGATAAATTATGTTTAAACTACAATTAATCGTAAATCAAACCAAGAAATAAGCCTTAAAATAAGGCAGGCTGGCAGAAGAAGTGGTCAATGGAAGTGAGTGACCGCTTTTATACATATGATCTGAATGATAAGGCACGGCAGATGATATGTTTTCCAAACACAGTAACGATTTTACGCTTTTTACCGCACCAGCCGACAGATAAGCCAGTCGAGAGGTCAAGTAAGAGGAGACAGCATCTGGGCGCATCAATGTGAGGTATCAGAGACATCTGCCGAACATGAAAAGGAATTCCCGTCGCACTAATGAGTTAAACGGACAAAAAAACTATGAAACTTTAGGAATTCTCATTAGTTTTATTGCGATTTTCTTCCTAGTTTCCAATCTCGGTGAAATGCTTGCTCTAGACTTGAGTATCTCTCCCTCTCTCAATCTCTTGTCTCTCTCTCTCTCTCTCTCTCTCTCTCTCTCTCCCTCTCTCTCTCTCTCTCTCTCTCTCTCTCTCTCTCTATCTCTCTCTCTCTCTATCTTTCTCCGACTCTATCTTTGGCAACACTAGCGTTTGAAGATGGTGAGCTCTCTATCGGTATGGCGTGACTTCGCCAGAACCGTCGCGTACTCAAAATCAGAAACGTCACGTAAATAAAGAAATGCTCAGTTGACCGTATTTTTTATCAAGAACTTCTCGAGATCTCGGAGCCCGCCCACCGGATGCTTTAGACCAGATCATCGTAATATGCGTGTAAAAAACAAAAGAAAGACAATTGAAGAAAATGACATCAATATAGCGGAACGTAAAGCAAAAAAATAGAGGGGATATAGAGCGAGAATTAACTATTTCCTTCGGTAATGTGTGCAGGCGCGCGCACAATCTGGAACTGATGATCGTTGTAGAGCAGGGCATGATTTCTAAAAAAAGCGTTTCTCAAAAAGGCCAAGAAAAAATTACTTCAAGATTGGTGCCCACTTCTCGAATTTGGCTTCTTTGGCCATTTTTGTTAGGCACTTGTCCGGGAAGAAGTTCTAAAATGATCGAATTAGTGGGAATAAACAGGGGTAACCCTTTACTTTACCCCCTCCCCCACAGCCGAAGGGTCTCAAAGTTTTCGGTATTTTCGCTTATTTTGTCGGGATTTTTTCAACGCCATTCGATAGAGCGTCGAAAAATATACTAAGAGTTTTTATTTGAGCATACAATAATGTAAAAAAAGGTTATAGCCAAAAACTTCCGGCTGGGGGGGGATAAAGTAAAGTGTAGCCTGAACGGGAATTAATTACCGGATTCCCGTTCGATTTCTTGGGCATCAGCCAGCCGAATTCTCCATTTTTCCGATGGAGGTAGTGTGGCGGGACTAAATATCGTTTTTTTACATGTTTCTTGCCTAAATTTTAACCCTGATGACCTAAAACAAACCATAATCATCCATGTTCGGCCTTGCGATCATCCAATCAACCATTCTCTTTTTCACCATATAGTAGGTCTCCTGCCATTTCAACTAAAAAGCTTGTAAAGATTCTCGGTTTGCTCAACCTACCGACCAGATTCTTCCACCCTCTTCTATCCACTCAAAGGCCGCCACCTCCTTTTGAAATTTGCATTTATTTTGCTGGAGGTCCCAGACAGCGCATTTCTGAAAAAGGCAATAATCCTATCCTATAAGCGAGAAAAGTGGGTGTGTTTTCTGTGCAGGCGATTCCCCAGGATATGCAGAGACCTTCCCGCGGCCGCTCCAACCACCGCTGTGGTGTAGTGCTCGGCTGAGGGTCGAGAATTCGGATCCCCGACAAAATTCACTTTTTGCTTTTTGATAGTTCAACAACAAAGCATATTTCTAGACTCTTCGTGTGTGAGATTTAGGTCTGGCCCTCGCTCTAGCGCCGCAGACCAAAGATGGTCCCTTCACCCAGGCTCTCGCGCCACGGTCTAAATCCGGCAGAAAAATAAGTAGCGGCGCCGCAGGCTCGAAGATTCTAGCGCAACATGCGCTCTGGTGCCGCAGGTCAAAGAATGGTTCCTGTCAGGCTCTTGCGCCGCAGACTTCAAAAAGGGGAAAGCGAATTTATGGATCCAAGACGGGCTCAAGTGGAACCCGGTGAAAAAGCGCCGCGAAGCGGTCTTTTCCACTTGTGTTAAACAAGTAAGAAATTACGAATCGCGATGCATCATCCGCGAGAGGATGGTAGAGTTCTAGACTCGGAGCATTCGTGACCGGGTTCCGTTTGTAGAACATCTAAATTTGGCTTGACAGGAGATTTTGAGTATCTTGATACCTTCAGCTGCTCCGGTGCAACTGGAAATGGCGCTTGTAAGGGCACGCTCAGGGCATCATATCCAAGCGGCCGAGCACTGATGCTGAGGTCGATCACAATCTTACTGAAATATAGCAATTTTGTTTTAAAACAAGGGTTGAAAAGCCGCGAAGCAACTGATCCTGGACTCAGCTAATATCATGATATTCTTCGTAAAGTCCCGAAATATTGAGTTGTTTGCGAAAGAGGTAACACCCTCGTCAAAAAAATCCAAGTTTTGTGCCAGAACAGTCATTCCCGGGCCAATTTCAAGAGTTAAAATACGAGATTAAGCTAGCGAAATAAAAATAGCCTGAGGATTACAGAAATGGCGTCAGATTTGCGAAATTCATTCGGTTTCACGTCCAAACCCGGGCGAGAAAAAATTGGGCGCAACCAAGCCATACCCGACGAAAAGTTCGCTGTCGCTTTCCGGCTGCCGGGCTGTGTAAAATGCGTGGAGACCTCTGTTTTGGAGCGGATCGGACTAGATTTAGCCTTCCAGATGATAGATAACCGTTACCGTGACTGGGCAATAAAGACCGCACAGACGGCCTCCAACTTCGAACATGCTTCGGGCAACAATCGCCACGTCCGGTGCATCAGCTGCCGTCCTGGGCTGGGGTTGTGGTATTGGCCTGAAAATCCAATCATAAAACAAATCGTAATTGATCTACATTAAATCTGTGTTCGTCTTGAACGATATGTTCTAGGAGAAAACGGTGCTTTTGTATGATCCGGGGTGGGGGCGGGGGCAGCTATTTTTCTTAAGTAATGATTTATTTTTCAATATAAATAGGAGAGGTGCTTGTAAACTGTGTTTAATATGCTTAGGCGGCAGAAATTCCCAAATTTTCATTAACGAACCATAAAATATGTCTCTTTTAACCAAAAAGGTCGCTTTTTCATGTCGCTTAGATAGTGTTTTTACCTAAATCTAGCTAAGTCTGTACCAAAAATTTTATGAACATACATACTATTACGCCACTATTCACTTCCACCCCTTCGATAATGCCAAAGAACCGAAAAAACTTACCATTTTGACTTCCACCCAGGTAAAATTCCAGCACTTCGATGTCGGACTCGGTGGCCAAGATGAGATGTCCTTTGGAGTGCATTCGATAGCCCTCCTGCTCTCGGTGAGACTGGAAACCACATTATGGCAAGCAAAAAGGTAGCATAAATCTTCTATGCTCCCTCCTGCCTCACCCCCGCTCGCTGCTCTTTTTTTTGCATTAGCATTTCCGGTTGGCTAGTTGCCAATTACCGTATACCCCCTCCCCCTCCCAAATTGTTTTCCAAAGTTGCCCGTAAGAAGTACAAAAAAATGCCAAAAACGCTTCGGCTCAAGCGTCGTACTTTGGTCCTTTGGTACTTCGGCTTTCCTGAGTGGTTTGAACTGCTAGAAACCGTTGTAATTGCTAAAATTCACGAAAAATATATCCCTCCCCCTAATAAAACGCCTCCCCCTGACGTGATTGAATAAAATTATAACCCCCGGTGTTATATTAGTGGAAAACCTGGCCAAAAAACGAAAGGGTGTGCCACAAAAGTTATTTTATTACGAAAAACGTAAAATATGTGAGTAAAACCGAAAAATTCCGAGGCGAAAACGACATTTTGCGTGCGCGGCGATTAATGCCATGTCGTAATAGACAGGAATCTCTCCATCTCGGTGATGGTCTGGTCGATTTTCATAATTAAACAGTCTAGAATCATCAAAAATCGGCGAGGATTCCAGAAATAACGTCAGAATCATTAAATTCAAGCGTTTTCACGTCCAAACAGCAAAAAAAAACATGCGGCGCGGTCGCGTTGAGGTGACATCCAGCTATTTGCTGGGAATCAGCGCAGGGGCCGTGGACCAGATTTCGGAGCCCTTGAACAAACTCCCCCCAAACCACCATACCTGCATTACCAACGGAGCAAACGCCACATCCACACACGGGCGCCGGGGGTAATGCTCGTTGACGATGGTTAGTGTTTCTAAATCATTAAAAAAACGTATGCGCAACTCGTACCCAAGTCCGCTTGATACACCATCAGCGTCATGGCCGACCCGATGGCGACAATCTGAATTTGAACTTTTAAACTGAACGACCTTTTGGCGCATAAAATGATTTCAACGTTTTGAGAATGATAATCGTGATCTTGTACTGGGACCAGGCCTCACTTCTGCGGGATTTTGCACTGATCCTGAATCTGTGCTCAAATTTGCTTATTCGGGATTTCTAGGAATGGCCAGCCCAATTTAAGGTCGGATCAGAACAAAATCGATTTGGGTTGGACCCCAAAAATCCCAAGATAAAAGATTGTAATCACAATAATTAGCTTGAGCGAAAGAATGCTTTTTTGAGTTGATTACCGGTTTCAAAATCCCGAAATTATATCATTAGATTTGTTTTTGAGACGATACGCCGGACCGCACCGTGGGAAAAATGGTTTTCTTTGGAAAACTTTGCGTTCCAGAACTCATTCAAAAGCTAATCTCTTTCTGCGCCGGACGCCCTATTCATTTGAATTAGAAATTTTTATTAAAGGTTAATAGAAATTGTTAATTAAATCTATAAATAAAATCGAAAATTGAAATTATAAAAAATTAAAATGACTAGAAAAAATTGAAAATGACTCTAAAATCAAGCTAACTCCTGAAAATAACTTGTCGAGAAATTATTCCGAAGTCCCAGACAGTAACACTTTTGCGTGAGCGCTCAGATTTCTAGGCTTACCAGGCTCATCCCCATCTTGTCTAATGGAAACGCGACAACCTTCGCGATGTTATGGTTGATGGGTGGCCGCTCGAGGAGGGTCATTTCCGTTGCGCGAAGCCGTTGACAGAACTAACACAATAGTTTTAATCAATAAAAAATAGATTCCACGATAAAAAAAAGAAAATCCTACATTGTCTCCATATCGGCGGCCCTCGACGTGGATCAAGTAGGAATCCGAATTGAAAGGATCTTTTACACTAAAAAACAAACAGTATACAGGGTGACTACTATTATGGGCCCTATGCGTCAGTCCCCTGCAATTGTGGCATTTCTGCGTCACCCCTTCGCCTGTACCTTGCAATGTTTTTTACACAAAATATTGTTTTACACAAAATATATATTGTTATTTAAAATACACATTTGGACGATTATATCATTTTCTAGCAATGTTCACTTTCAAGTTTCCCATGTCTCTGTATTGTGTTGGTCCTTCCCATTCGGGCAAGACCTTTTGGGTGAAAACCTTCATAGAGAATGTTGATGTACTAATAGAAGGGATTCAGTTAAAGTCTATAATCTACTATTATGGGGTTTACCAACCCGTTTTTGAAGAAATGGCCCGTAAGGAGCCACGATTAAAATTTATCGAAGGCCCGCCGACCGAAGACGATCTAAAATGTATCGATAATTCGTTGATTATACTCGACGATCTATTTCATGAAATGAAAGATAGTAAGATGCTAACGGCGCTATTCACCAAACTAACTCATCACTCAAATTGTGCTACTATTTTTATAACACAAAATGCATTCCTTGGGAATCGGAGTGCTCGAACGAACGCTACCTATCTGGTTTTAACCAAGAACAATTGTGATAAGCTGCAGATTTTAAACTTGGCAAATCAAATGTTTCCCAAAAAACAAAGGTATTTGATTGATAGCTATGAGGATGCAGTTTCAAAACCTTACGGGTATTTGGTCGTGGATAACCATGTGACGGCCGACCCTAAACGTAGGCTATTTACAAACATCTTCCCCGATAAAAGCCTCGAAGTATACGAAATGCTTTAGTTGAAATGAATTTTCAAAAGTTAGAAAACCTCTATACAGGTCTCGATTCGGCAATTTCGTTTTCCTCTGCTACTAATTTGAAAAAGCAAGCCAAGGGTATCCCAAATGAAACTATTGATGCCTATGTTCAGTCTAAGCCATCTTTTACTTGCATAAACCCTCTAAACATAATTTCAGGCGACGAAAAACCACAGGTACTAGCCTGCATAGCCATCATCAGGCGGATTTGGCGGTAATGGCAAATATTAAAAGTTACAACCATAATTACAAGTACATTCTTCTGATAGTCGATTGTTTCTCTCGACAGATCTTTACAAGGCCACTCAAAACTAAATCTACGCAAGAAGTTGCAAAGGCGTTCGAAGATGTGTACAAAGACTTTGCACCATATTATCTAATCACAGACAAGGGCTTGGAATTCACAGGCGGACCCATGAAGAAACTTTGCAAAGATTTGGAAATTACTCAATGTTTCCCGAATTCTACGGTTAAAGCAGCAATGGCAGAAAGGTATATCAAAACCTTAAAGTATAGGCTCTACAGGTATTTTACCGAAAAGAACACATACAAATGGTACGATGTATTGCAAAAATTCACGCAAAATATTAACAATACGCCAAATTCTGCGATCAAGATGAAGCCGAAAGACGTCACATTTACGACAAAATTCCAGAAAGACTCGGAAACACAAGTACCGGCCAGGAGCTCTATTAATCGTGGAGATTTTGTAGTTTTATCGAAAGGTAAAGCTGTTTTCAAGAAAGGTTACACCGGACATTGGGATACAGAATTTTTTAAGTATCAGAGGTTTTTCCCACGACACCTGTGACGTTTCAACTGACAGATCTAAACGATGAAGTCATTGAAAAGGGTTTTTACAAAGATGAAATCCAAAAAGTCACCCCTCCTGATGTACACGTTATTGAAAAGATAATTAGGTGTCGAAATTCGGACAACGGTAGAGAATGTTTAGTCCAGTATAAGGGACACGGACCATTATTTAATCGATGGATACCAGATGCCCAACTTGTAAAGGTACGAGCTGAAATAGATAAATAGTTTGAAAAACGCTTCAATGTCACTTGTTATGACTGGCCTTAAGCGACTGTCAAAACACATTTCTTTCCTAAAAGATATTTCTGAGACTGACTTTTTAGTTGACCGAATTAAAAACGCTACAAATTTGGAAATTATTATATTGATTGAACTGTTCCATAACTTGCGTAGGGGACTTGTCCCACTGTACAAGTACGAAGCTAACAATCTGCAACCGTATTTGCAACAGATTGAAAAGTTGGGAAAGCTTAGGAATTATACGGAAGCGCGCAAAAATCTTCTGGACAACATTGAACTGGTAAGGCTTGTAGTCACCCCTGCGCTGGCTCTTGCTAAAAATGTCCAATGAAAAGAGATCCTTTCGGAAGTTGGTTTTCACCCCACAAACAGGTGAGGGCTATGAAAATACGCCCAGAGAACAAATTATTCAACAGGCGAAAGAGACGGAAGGTGGTATGCAAAAACTTTTAGCAAGTGACCTATCTGACGATCTCAAAATGAAGCTATATGGGCAATTTTTGAATGTCCTAACTGGATTAGCCGACGAGATCAAAGCGGTAGATCGAGGTCCTAAGCTCAACCCTTCAAATATCTCTAACCCAAATGATGGAGTTCATGCAATGCATGACCGGAGAACCAAGATGCGGAAACCTTACGCAAAGGCCAAAAAGGAAAAACCCGCAGGCCTCCAGGTTTTTGATCTATTACTCAAAAGTGTTAGAACCGACGATAGA